ATTAAAAAGTTTTATTAGAAGCATTTTTTTGTTTACTATGTAAAAATTCAATATACCATGTAGATCATATGAAAATTAATCTACATACACCCTACCTTTAAATTAAAATAAATAAATAAATAAAAATAATATCTGTAAATATTCTGTTTAATAAATAGTATCAAATTCTAATTTGGGATCTTAGACAGTAGACTACGGCTAAGTTGTATGAAGAATTAGAAAATCTTAATATTCTTGTTAATAAAAACATGTCCTGAAGTGAATTAATAAAAATTTTAAAAACAAATCTATGTCTGAAAACTTTAGACAATTTAGAAAATAATAATATTAGCACAATAAAGAATATAATACAGTAGCTGGGAGTAATGATTTGATGGATGTTGATAAGTGAATAATTTAGATTTTGTTTAATCTTTGTTTTTTTTTTATGATTTTAAATTTCTTCATTTAATTATAGATCATTAAATATTACCTTATTTTCGTTACCTCTTGGTTGGGCATTAAAGCATAATCAAAAATATAGAAAAAAAGAAGAAAAAAAATTATCTAAAGATGTAGTAGAAGCCTTAAAAAGATTTTTATGTTAGGTCAAACAAATTCAAGTGATCATTATACTGCCAGTGATATGCATAATAGCTTATTAGAACTTGTAGAGAGTGGAAAAATTAATGAAGATGATGTTCTTATACAAAGTACTATAGAAAATTGGATTAATCGTTATTTACAAGAATTAAAAAAAGAGGCAGCAGAACAAGTATTACTTATACACAAGTAGCAGGTAAATAATAATAAAAAAAAAACCAATTAAAACTCATATTATTATAATAGTTAATAAAAAAAAAAGATACAAGTCAAATATTCATTTATTTTAATTATTATTTTTTTCTTTTTATATCTAAAGATATATACTATTAGTGACCAAAATTCTACTTTTCTCTATTCTTCATTCTTACTTGGACGTTTGAATTTTTTTTGAGTCTAAAATTCTATTGAAAATTCAAGGCTATCTTAAAATCTATTGTAATCTTATAATATTGCTTTGAAATTCTATAGAAACAATATTTTTTATGAGCTTGGATTGATATAAAAAGCTGTCAATATTTCTGAAAATGCAGTAAATAAAGTCAAAATTGCTAGTATATCTAGAAGTGAAAAATCTAAATATAGTACAAAAAACAAATAAGAGTAATAGTATCAATATGTAAATTTATATATGCTATAAATAAAAAGTCATAAAGCACTAAATAGCAAAAATAATTGAATTACTATTTCTCAGCATTATCAAATTATTCTTAGCAAGAGGTGTGGCGGCTTAGTGAAATGGTCAAGTTGTCACCCTCTTCAAGTAGCAGGTCTAGGGTTCAAATCCCATGGACGACAAAAGTTTGAAAAATAGGCTTGCATTATGGTAACAGATCTTCATTAAGTTGGGGCTTAGATTAATCTGTAACTT